GGAATGAAATAAAACATCAAAAGAATGAATAACGAATGCAAAGAACTGGAAAGGAAAAGCTGTTGGTCGGAGAATCCTGGTCGATGATCCTTGCTCCACGAGGGGTAACAGGTGAAAGTAAGTAAGTATAAGACGAATAGTTTGAAGATTTATTTCAAACAAACTCAACAATAGTCAGTCCACATCAATTTATTTTTTCACAATTATGTCTATTGAATTACACTCATTGAAACAATGCAATGGACTTTTTTCTATCTTATTATGTTAGGTATGATCAAATAATATTTAAAATTACGAAGTTAACATTCGTGAAAAAAGGTGTTCCAATATTCAACTAATTTTTAAGGTTTGTCAAGATTATAAGTTGATATTTTAGTTTTACATAGTTATGAAGGTGAAAAATCCTGAATTCAGCTACGATAAATATTTTTGATAAGGCTTATATCTACCGTTTCCTCATTTTATTTTCTTACTTTATTGAACCCAATACAAATTTGTTACAGCTTCAAGGAATAATATTTTGAATCTTTAACATAACAAGAAAGAATATTTACAGTTTCATTTCGTCCAAACAATTGAAATGTCTAGACACAACCGTTGCATAATAGTAACTTTCCGCATTTTATTTATTTAAATCTGTGTTAAAACGATGTATAATGACATTCCAGTATGTTTTTGCTATTAATGCTACCTAAATAAGTTGATTGTTACTATGGCTTCGAGATAGATGTAAACATACAAATAAAAAAGGAAACTGACTATATTTGGTTGACAATGTTAATTCTCTCTGTTATTCACAAAAGATTCTGTAGAACATTACATATAAAAAGATGATTCAGTTACAGTTACAATGGTTTTTCAATTTCATACAATAGCTGATGCTATGTATCGATCAACATCTTGGAATTATTTAAAACGAACAGTTCGATACAACATCTATACTGAAGTAGAGAAAATTATTAATGCTAGAGTATAATAACAAATAGGTAAAACGGTACTACACTAACGCCCTTTTGCGAATCATCACAGTTAAAAAAGTGATTACTGCATTTTGTGTAAAATCGGGAACGCAGTGGAGGTTAGCTCATTTCTTAATTAGAGCCGAGCTAATAATTCCCTATAGCTGACCCCAAATATGCAGTAACACACTGGGTGTACTTGATGTGATTCAAGGTATTGCGAAGGATGCTTCTAAAGCTAAAAAGTACACACTCACTTTAACCATGACTAGTAAGCCTAGCCCCCATAACCCCAATAAATAACCGTAACAAGATGGAACTATAGTTACAAATGGTTTCCGTTTGCGGTAAAAACCGTTAATCCATTCCTTGTCCATAACTCCTGACTCTTCTTAGACTTCGAATTCCCAACCCTAACCGTTTTTGATCACTAATTATGATGAAGCGGATTACCAAACCTACTTTTTTTAATTATTCATTAGTTGATAACTAAACACTTTTCCGATTGACTGATGATTTGATCAAAGTTTACATCACAGCACAGTTTTATTCACTTTGTCCCTAGTTTATTATGACTATATAATCATCATTATTAATCACTTTATTCAGTATTATATTTTTGACACAATACGGAATTCTCAGCACAGATTATTTCAAGAAGTTTCATTTTCTTATTGCTTGATCGATCCTAATGGCAAATATTGAAATTTCGCAGTGATAATGAACAGTTGTCTTATAAATCATTTGATCAGGATTATTGAATTATGGTTATACCAGAATTATGATACATGTCCAGACTTAGTATGAATCGGAGACAATGCACCCTGGAAATTATTCATCGTCAGTTGGCTGTTAGCAGTTCAGGAATCTACATCTGAATGATGTTCATTCTTTTCAATGCATATTGCCAGACACCACGATGTCTCTGATTGTACTTTTTTGTATGTTGTACGGCGAAATGTTGTAAATCTTTGATAAACGCATCTGAATAGGTTAGACGATTGATAGACATAATGATGTACTAAAACAAGCAAAGAGAGATAACTCGTTGAAAGATCTATATGACAGGAACAGTTAGCCCAGATATTCAAGCGGGCCACCAGATGCAGAATTTCATTGTTAATTGTGTTCAAAACATGTCCCTAACATGATACGTATTGGACAAATCTGGGACGGCACTGGAAGTTATAAATAATGTATGTAAACTTTCCATTTGCATCAGCATTAAGATAAACTCTATAAAATTGTTAATCTTGAGTTTATTTGATAGCTGACAACATAGGGTAACATAAGCTCCCTGCAATCATTTGGAAACTCTATGCAAAGTGAGGGTTTGATATGTAAATGCGAGTTCTAAAAGAGATTTAGAGGCTTTCCTCGTTTAGCTGCAAACAAAATAAAAATTGTATTTTAATTGTTCTATAATTAGTTAATCCACATAACCTAAAAATCTATTTTTATATTTACACTCCATTTTACTTATATGTTTAAAAGTAGTTTATGACATTACGCCTAATATTTTGGTAAATAGCAAATATTTGATAAATTCTCAATGCTTTGAAATTCTTGTGATATTGAATGCTAAAATTTTGGACACTGATGAATTCGGACGCATGAGAAAACATTTACTCCAATCGTATGATTTCGTACTCAGTAACTTATAGATAATGAGCTAGTATGTACTTCTACAGTATATTTTTCGTACATTGATTACACTGAATCTTTAGTATTTGAAAGCATTTCATTGGACAATCATTACACTTCCTGAGAAACTTCTGTTCACTCTCATCCAAAAAAAGCTGAATTTCCAAATTTTTGTAGTTTTTTTGGTACCCTTTCAGTGATGACTTCAGATTATGTTGTGGTGAAGGAGAACGCAGGTGAGGACAACCGATTATCAAATAATAATAAAATAGCAAAATTATATTCCAATACTTCATTTGTAAAATGTCCATTAATTGTCTCAGACGTCATCGTCCCTGTACTTCCATACCAATTGCTTTCCGTTCCCGTTCTTTCCTACTCGATCTTCTCGACCTCCTGCTGCCAAACATTCTATTCCTAACTAGCGTTTTATACTACTTATGTCCACATAAGTAGCATACACCACAGTATAACCTTTAATCAGTTAATCATTTATTAATTACACCACTTCGATTTTCAGTGTATTTGTCTTGTTCCTGATCACTGGTATCTACCATTAAATTTAAGTTTCAAACACTTATTGTTTGAATATAGAAAAAGGAGAAATCATAAGAAAGTGGTTGAATTACTGAATACTCGTTACTTACAACGTAGTTGTAAATTAATATCTTGTTTGCTGTGAGTATCAACTATTCCATATGCTCAAATACCAATTTTTAAAACGCTGAATTCTAATCTATTTCACATCATTAGACTATTATAAACAACTCTATATACACAATGAAACTATATGGAAATGTTCAATTAACTTTTTCATCAATTTGTATTACAGTCTCAAATTAATCTTCAGATATCGATGTTTCTGAGTCATAACTGTTGCTCACAATATGTAAATGACGTATTTCCATTTCATTGCTAAGCGAAATCAGATTTTTTTTTCCTTGCTTATGTAATTTTCTGAACTCTAATCAGTTGTTGTTGCTGTCAGACAATACGGATTCACTCCTAATATTATGTCCCATTCGATATTTTTGTGTTCATTCAAATGTAGGTAGCTGAATGTAAATTATTCTCTTATATTATTTAAAATGAAAATTAAACCTGAAACTAGTTTCTGGTGAGAGTCAAATGATTTATGAAAATGTTGACTTTTAATGGCCCTTTATCTGACTCCAATTGAATCGTATGATTGATTGTTGAAATATACATCCTGACTATTCTTGTATATATCTGTCGACTGAACTCACGTTAGCGAATAACGGAATTAAAATAAGTTAAATACAAGAATAGATTTCTGAGCACATATATTTTGTACGCTCATTGATCTGGACAGGTAATCAAGGAGAGACGAAACGAACAGAAAAGATCGAAGAAAAATGACGCGCAGTGGAGATGGAAGGCGAGCCAAATCCATTTAATCAAGCGTTAATTAATATATATAGCCAGATAAAAATAAGCTACAGACATGTGATGAAAAGGATAAGAATTGTACACACATATGCTTATATAAAAACAGTCAAGGTTGATAAGTGAATAATTGACAAAGTCAACATGTGACTCAGGATGAATGAATAAATTGGCCTGTTCAGAAGCTAGCATAAGTTATATAGGTTTAACACAGCAACCGACACTACAGATTAATGGAATTATCTAGAATCGATAAGTATCAAGTAGAATGAAAATCACTTCCTGTATCATTATGATAGGGATTCTTGATTTATTTATTTATTTATTTTAACACAAAGATATTGGTACAAGGAGGCACCAAATACATATGCGCCACACAAATCTCATTTGATATGTGTGAATGCTATAATACTGCCCGGGTGCCCAAACCAAAGCAGGTGGTTTTCTTAGGAGGCTACATCCGGAGCCTTCAACCTGAAGGTCTGGTCCACAAGGCAGTGGAGCATCGTAAGGAGATGCAGTCCCATGGTAGCTGGTGACCAACGATTGGTTCATACGCCATTTGTTCCCGCAGGATACTGGAGCCCATGTACACCATTGGTTTGGGATCCGGTCAAAGCGCCGGACATTCGCTTTTCGTCCTCACATTTTTGTAGACAACAACCCCACCACGAGAAGGCGATGAGTAGGACTTCCCTGGCAGAGGCTATATACGCGTGGCCATGTGAGAGCATTTTGAGAGGGAGAGCGGACTCTCCCCACTATCGGCCGTACCAAGGCATTTGGGGGATTCTTGAACAATGTCAGTAATCAAACTCTAACAGATAAATCCATAAATGTGTAATATATTTTACCTTCTTTTTGTAGGCTTATAATTTATTATTCTGATAATAGTATAAAAACATGTTTTACATAGTTGATGAATTAATTTATTTAATTAAATAAGTCAATAAATATTTGATAATCTTCATTATTTTAAGAATATTAAGCTTATTTCCCATTTCTCATATATAATTCATTTTGAGCTGAGTCTAATTCCACACGTAGTGCATGAACAAGTTTAATTAAACTAACATTTAAAAGTTGTAAACTTCTGTTATTATAGTGTTGATCAATTTTTATCGAAGAGAAATTCTGATTGAAGTCTGTTTGAACTTGAAAATCACATGTACTTTTTAAATTTTCATCATATGTTTGAACACTAGAACTGCATAAATTTGTTGTTATCTCTTTGGATTGTGTTAAATGTGTACAATTTCTTTGACGAATCAGTTCTTCTTCTTCTTCTTCTTCTTCTTCTAAGGAACATGTTAAAGTTTGAATACCAACATCAACTGTTGATTGTACTTCTTGTGATAGTTTAATATTTTCCCGGTGTATTTCACCTAGTTCGGCCTGTCACATGAAGAAGAAAAAAGAGTAAATATTTATCATAAAAGATTCAAATATGCTATGGTTTAATAACTTTTCACAGTAAACAAAATAAAATGTTTTAAACATTTTGATTATTTTGCGTGAATGAATAACTAACTAAGGCAATATATTACTCACTAGGTGTATACAGTAATATTTAATCACTGGGTTCTAAATTAACCGAACATCATTTATTCTTTGGAGCATAAAGTGATCGAGTACCTACTAGATATATTCGTAAATTTTCATTGTATTTAGTTATGGAAGTAAAATTAATAATTGAATAATGCGGTTAAAAATATTCTTTACTTAAGAAAATGTTCAATTTTCAAAATATCCCTGATATCTTTGTATTGTACATTTAGTTTCTCATTCTTTCCAACAAAAACAGACACATTTTCTGATTTTACACATTTATGGATGCGATCAAGATTTAGATGAATAAATATCTGTGAATAATGTTTGGTATCACTTCAGTTTTTCTTAATCATAGTATAATAATATATCGAGGATTTCTAGATGACAGTCACTTGACATTTCAATGACTTTATGACTTAAGAAGAAGTTCCAGGTTATACTAGCTGAGCATTACGTTTGTTTACAAATCTACAATTAATTTATCATGATGGTCTGTCCTGTATCATGTATATTACAATCAATGTATTGATTGTGTAACTAACTTGTGACTGTATCTGAGGTGAACTAACATAAAAATTCGAAGAAACACTTGTTTACAGGAATTAATTTGTCTCTCTTTGATGAACATGCAATAGTCAATGACATTGCTTTTCCGATATAATAAACATTTTGAGCAAGCTTTACAATCAAGGACTTTATTATTTGGTTAATTTACATACATATACCTAGTTTCATTAAAAACTGGGACAACTCATAGACTGAAAAATGTAAAATATCGGAAGGGGTTTTGTGGAGAGTTTAGAAATTTCACTGACTGAAATCATGAGTCAATTGAAGCTAGACCAGCATGGAAAATCTGGAGGCACTAGACGACCGTTTCGTTCTAGTATGGGACTCCTTAGTGGTCTAGTTTGTTAAGCACCTGGCGCGAGACTGATAGGTCCTGGGTTCAAATCTCGCGGGGTGCTGGATCTTGGATGCGCACTGCTGAGGAGTCCCATACTAGGAGGAAATGGCCGTCCAGTGCTTCTAGGTTTTCCATGGTGGTCTAGCTACAATTGACTCATGATTTCAATCAATGTAAATTAGTTTCAAAATTTTCTGATATTATCAATGCGAAACGTAATGTATGTAGGTATGCAACTCAAGTATCTTGAATATTAAGTGTAAACTTTAGTATAATCGTGAGTTTCATCTAGAAAAAATTACTTTTTGAGTTTTAAAAGCCACAGGATCTTAAACAGTACGATTGTTTGAATGGATCTGTTTAAGGTTGGGATTTGTGTTATATGTTAAGTAGGAATTATAAAACCACTATAAATCATAAGATAAGAATAAACTCATAGTAGTACATCCCTAATTTTTTCATTATTTAATTAAAAAGGTTAATAGTAAAGTCATTTAATTTAAACGTTTAACGTAGAATTATAACTTCATGAAATGATATAATTCACCACATGAAATATGTTAGAAGAGCTAATGCTGTATAACATAATAATAACTGAGTAATTGGTGGATCTTGTATCCTAATATACCTCATAATGATATAGCGAATACAGCAAACAACTAGAATTTACATTTGCATTCGACTCGATAAAAATAATCAACATACTAATGAAACTCTCAAACAGACATTGTTACAAATTATACATAACTGAAAGTTTGATACATTTTTAATATCATGTTCTAAACAGGTAAAGGCTCTTTCCTTTGTCTCAGTCTGTATGTATACGATATCACTAGATTTATTATTTCCTCAATTCAGCATACAATATCATTCGTATAAAATTGTGGAGATTGCTGAATTTCACTGAAATCATGAACCAATCAATGTTAGACCACCTCTGAAAACCTGAACTCGGTGAACGCCGTCTCGTCCTAGTATTAGATTTCTGAACAGTGCACATCCACGATCCTGTGTGCGTGGCTCGAATACAAGACCTTTAATCTCGTGTGTAACCGCTTAGGCTCTGGACAACTGACTTGACATAAAATGGTGTTAATGTTTAAGTTCAATCAATTCATAATATTGTTCAACCGCCTCCCATTGTTTTTTATGGGTAAATGCCACGTATCCCATAAGGTGTACCTCTACTATTTTGATGGAGTTTTGTTCTCTGAGCTGGATCGTTTGGTCGTTGAGCTCTCATCGTTCTTCTGAACGACATTATCAACATAAACTTCAGATAGAAGTACCTCTACAAGTTCTGGCTTGTTACTATAACTCCGGAAATTTTCTCTTGAAGCTAGTCATTAGCGAGCACATGATAATTATCATTATTAGATTGTGGAGATTTCTGAGTTTCATTGACCAGTGTAGTTCAACCGTATGGGGTGTGAGGTGGTTATTCACCAGTGACAATAGAAAATGGTCATAAAACGTCGTGAATTGTTTAAAATTAGATATTCACACATATGGGCGCTGACTCAGTGGTCAGAAAGCTTCAGGTTGGCGCGCAAGACCGAAGGTCCTGAGTCCGATTCTTGCATCCGGTGTTGTTGATATGTACTGTTGAATTGTCTCATACTATAATGAAACAGCCATACATTGCTTCTAGATTTTCGATGATGGTTTAACATGATCTAGCAATAACAACAACAAACTTAGTTAGTTTAAATCACAAAGTATGAAATACTAAAATGATATTTATTGTTTCTTCTTTCAAATATCAACTACCTCCTTAATATAACTATCCATTATAAAATAAATTGAACAAAACTACAAGATCATTTATTGCTACAAATGAGATTAATGAACATTAGTTTTTTTTTCTATCTAGATACTAATTAGTGTAACCCCTATCAACTTTATTTTTTTATCAAAAAAATACTGTTTTATCTACGGTTCTGAAAAAGAAAGAAATTAGAAAAATAATTTATTATGTTATTATTATTATCACATGTCCATTTGTTAGTAGTAAACAAATTTTAATCAAAGAATAATAATTAATTGACAACTAATATCTCCTTTTTATGTTCAGAATAAATATCATAATTATTGATATGCTTATCGATGAGGGATCGATAAGCATATCAATAATTATGATACAAGTACAAGTATTTATAAGTGGTTGTCTACGCAAGATACTCAACATCCATTGGCCGGATACCATCAGCAACAGCCTTCTCTGGGAGAGAACAAATCAGCTTCCAACTGAAGAGGAAATTAGGAAAAGATGATGAAAATGGATAGGACATACATTACACAAATCATCAAACTGCATCATGAGGCAAGCCCTAACTTGGAATTCTGAAGAGAAGCAGAAAAGAGGAAGGTCAAAGAACACATTACGTCGAGAAATCGAAGCGGATATGAAAAGGATGATTAAAAACTGGAAGGAGCTGGAAAGGATTGCCCAGGACAGGGTTGGATGGCGAATGCTGGTGAGCGGCCTATGCTCCTTCACAGGGAGTAACAGGCATAAGTAAGTAAGTAAGTATCGATCCCTCATAGAAAATTTGCCAATATACTTTTATGTTCTCTTATTCTATTTATATCAATAATATCTTATATAAATTTTTGAATACTTAAATTTTCTGATTTTTTTCTTTTTTACATTTCCAATCACAATAAATCAGTAACCTATAAATATAAACCATAAATTTTGTTTTTGGTTTATCGAAACATAAAACTTCTATAGTATGAACATTGTTTATTATCTGCTTCAAGCCCTAATGTTTCCGATTACTGCTTATACTCTTACTACCTCTACCTCTACGGAATTCGGGTCGACAATTGCATCTCTGTGCTAATGTGGTGCGGCAACTCGAACTAATGTACGTAGGTACGAAGTTCTACGTTGTTACTGACTGACTGATTGACTTTTTATTATCAGTACTAGTGTTATTTAGAAAACAAAACATACATTTTATATATAAAAAACAAACAATTTTCATTTATGTTTTTAATTTTTCTTTCAGCATTATGTACTTCTGATCTTTAATAATTAAGAATTCTATTTTCAATATGAAATGATTTTAGTTTTAATTAAATTGAATTTATGTATCATTTGAGTTGATAAAACGTTTTGAATAAAACAAAATTACTTCACACTGTATTACTTATGAAATAATAATAATAATAATAATTCTCTGATTAAAAACCTACTCTACTTTATACTGGCAATCCCAATAAATCAATAAACCTTGATAGGTATATATATGTATATATATATGGTTAAAGTATACCCCAAAATAACTTTACAATTAAAGAGAAAACTCATAATAAGTGAATTGTTGTACAGAAACACAAATAACACTTATAATTTATTATTTAAAACACACTAACAACTTCTTTAGAAATTGTCTAGACAAAGATATTGATTTTAAGTGTTTTGATTCTATGAGAAAAATTCATTGTTTCTAACTGATTTCAATAATAATAATAATAATAATAATAATAATGTATTAAGATTTACTTCGATAATGTAATAAGAAGACGAAGATTGTCAGAACTATGTGATATTTTGGTGCAATACATTTCGAACAATCTGATCACACATATACTTGTTAAGAGCATTTATATAAAAAAAAAATAAAAAGTCAACTAGGCAGGAAACGGGGTAAGAGGAGATAAGGATAAAGATAAGAGTAATAATAATAATAATATGAACACAAAGCGAAACCTAATCACTCCGGATAATAAGTCAATATTACCAGGGTAGGTTTAAGGTAAGAACAAACTGTTTTTGAACACACAAAACGGGTTTGAATTTTCGTATGGCTAAGGCTTCAATAAACGTTAGTATACATACTTATACACTTTTATACAACACCTGATAATCTTCGTCTTTCTTATTACATTATCGAAATTTATCAGAGGGACTAATTGTATTAAGATTTAA